CCGAGGTTTTCTATATATATATAATAATATTTTTCTCTTTTGTTAAATTCTTAAATTCTTACATTTTTTAATTTTTAAATTCTGAAATTTTTACAAACAAAAATCAAAACCAAATATAACTTGTAGAGTCTTAGTCCGCTTAGATCTATAAAAGAACTATTTTATATGTTATTAATCACAATTTTTAGATTAGGATTTTCAGCTTCTAATAAACTAATCTCCCGTTTCTCCCCCCATACTTTCTGCGTTCTCATCTATGGGTGTGCCCAGGTGTTACACGTATGGGTGAGAAACAGTTAGTATGGGTTTAGTTTTAAGTTTTTCCCTTATTGGCGGCTACTATTGTGTTAGTGATTGCACGGTGTACTTTGCACCTGTGTGTACGTAATAGGTAGTGTGCATAGTATATCGTTTCGCGATAATTATCCTTATATAAAAGTTATTGTTTAATGAAAATATTACTTGTAAAGTTACATATATATAATATATATATATTATACAAATAATATATAATATAATATTATAAATATATTTAATTTTTTTCATTTTTTATACGGTTTTGCATAGTAGAGTTACTGCATTTATTTGTGGAAACTTTGATATACTCGTATATTACTAGTATGCATATATACTAGTKTATACTTGTATTTTTGCATTAGTTATTTATGCAATAATCACTAGCCTTGGTAGACGATTACAGCAATTGGTACGTACTCCCATAAGTTTAGAAAACACGCGTTTGAACTAGGGTGTCGGAGGTGCCCCGGGGCATGCTCTCTAGTTTAGGCTTTTGCACCCTGGTGGTATGTGAGAGGATCGTGGAGTGAGTGGGTGGGTATGCATGTATGTTTGTTCTTTTTTAAATAGTGCCAATATAAAGGCAGGTAGCATACTTAGATGTGAATGTTTATTTAATTTGTAAGTAGGTAGAGACCGGAGAAGTCGCGCGATTGTAATTTCCACTCAGAAGTGGAAAATTTCTTCTCCGGAGATATTATACAAAGTTTCAGCAACCTTCAGATTCATTTATCATTTAAATATTTCTTTTATTTTTTCCATATATTGCTGATACTCTGTACCGCGAGATATAAATCAGTATCGAACGATTCAAAAGTCTTTGCGTTTTCTTAAAAATTAATTTTTTTTCGAAAWWGTGADGRTABCTGAATACGTTGGATACTWAMTTAATATTAAGTATATTAACGCTTTGCTCTTTAGTAATTCCTATTGAATATTTCATTTGTTATATATGTATAGTAAATTCTAAGTAGAGTAAAGATAAAAGATAAAAATGGTCGAGTAAAAAAGTAAGACCATAAGATGTATGACAAAGTTCCTGCTTTTGTTTGATATTATTTAATTTTTTAAATGCAAAGTGTTAGTAATAGGTTCATCGATTAGATCAAATATCTGTTGAGGCATTCGAGTAAATGTAACTATACGATTGTTTCGGAAATATATTGTAAAATGCGTTTGGAAAAAGCCTCACAGTAGCGTTTAGGGCACGAAGAAAGAAGAGGCATTATGCCGAAGAAGGCCCCACTTAATTGTGGCTGAAGAGGCCTATTTATGATGAGCCATTTCTTCAAAGGATGCAGCATATTCTGTGTGCCTTTAAAAAAATGACTCATATTTTTATTTGCATGCTTTTATTATGCTCGTCTCTAATTGTCTTCAATTTGTTTTTTTGTTGTTATTGTCATTTCTATTCACAGGAAGTTTTGGAAAAAAACGCCACTTTTATCAGGCGTGTTAACAAGTTAATTGCAAAGTTTATTTTTTCCAGATATTATGAATAATAATTTAATATCATATAACTAATATATGTTTCTGTTTTGTTTTTCAGGTGATCTTCGTTGGATTGATTTGCTATGATTTCTATTTTTTTTATTATTTTTTTGTTGTTGCCGATCAGACTCCTATTTACAATTTTTATATATGAATTCATGCATTTCTATGACAAATAAAAAAAGAATATTAAATTTATAGAATCTAATTATTTAAAATTGGTTTTTAGAATTTAATTTCACATATATTTCAAATATATATACAAAAGAGTATTCAAACTTGTTGCACTTTTGAAATTTGTATAATTATTAAAGTTGTAGTTAATTAAAAATTCACTACTTTTAAGAATATTTAATACTGTAGAAATGCATACATAATTTATTATTACAAGAATCAAATATTAATTATAAAAATTTATGTTTTAGGTGCATCAATCTATGTGTTCTAGTTTTTGTTACTAGTAACCCATACTCAAGTCATCCATGTGAAAGTCTCATCGATCCATAATGGCTATAATATTCGGTGCGTTTTCAAAATCTTTTCATTTCAAATATGATTACTTAAAATTAAAGAGTATTTATATCATAAATTTAATTATAAGAGATAAATAAGTTAGATAAAATTGTATTATTATTTTGGCGAAAAAGATAAACGCATTGAATACTCTTTGAATTTAATGAAAACTCAATATATGAGCTTGGTTTTTTTTTAAATCATTTATTTCTATATTACTGCGTGAATATATATTTATAAGCAGCGTTATGCATTCCTTGTCACAGTAACTTTGTGACTACGCAGGTCGATAATAATTTAATTTAAACTTGGAAGGATCGTAGAACTTGACAAATTAATAATTCATTACATTTTTATAAGAACGTCAAGTCATCATTATAATCTCATACATTTTATGATATCAAATGTAATCTTCTTGTGATTTAAAAAAGCCTGTTAAATAATTAACAAAAATAACACGTATTTAACACATGTATTTAACATACATAGATTTTCGTCTGCCTCTCGTTATCAACGACTGTTACAGAGAGAGAGAGAGAGAGTTTAAATAATATAATACTTCGTGAAAAAAAAAACATACGCATAATAAAAATTTATGCACGCACACACACAATCATAAATTATAATTTAATTATAATATAATATATTTGTCCAAATAATACTTAAATAAACATCGTTATATCGTTCGCGAATTTTATCGTGTTAAAAAAGAATAATATTCTTACGATACACGTATCGAATTTGTGTTAAGAGGACTACCGAGCTGTATCTATCTCGAGTGTTTAAGAAAAAAAGTAAACGCGTGTATAAAAGTAGAGTTAAACTTACGGATTCCCGTTAAAGTTGGAATAAACAAATAAACATAGTTCGATATTGAAAAAGTCCGTTTACAAAAGTTCTCTTCGTTCGCAGTCTTGCGGGGACCATGCTAACAGTAAGACGTGTGTGTGCTCCAACGAATTTATTTTGTTATCAAGTAAATCTTTCTTTTTTAATATTTTAATTATAAAACATTATCAATAGACAACCGATGCGAATCAACGAACTTAATTAAATATTGCATTTCATTTTTTATCTTCGCAGGAAGTTGAATTATCTCGCCAATTTTTTCTTTTTTATTCTTTTGTACAATCAAATTTATAATTCACTGACAAATTAAAAAAAATATCTTTTCTTCAATGTTTTAATAAATAATCAACAAATGATCGATTTATGCATTTCTTTACAACAACAGCCGCTACGAAATATTTCCTTCTTATTTTTTGATGCGACATTAATTGATTTTTTCATTATAACATAAAACTTAACGTAGAAGAAATCTTCTTTAACAAGCCCATTTAACGAGTTTCTTTTCATAAAGAAATACAATAGAAGAGGAGGAGGAGGAGGACTTTTGGTAAAGGATTTTCTAGGATACTCTAGGATAATACTTATGATTATTATTGGGAATCTTGATTTTCGAAAAAGAACACTTTATTTAAGTAGATTTATGTTAAAATTCTCTCGAGACTCCTCTTGCAAAAGTAAGGAGAACGCGTTCTCATATTTTTCATATTTTATTTAATAATTCTTAGAGAATATAATTGCAGATAATAATAAATTATATTTCAAATATTATTCGCGTGTTTAAAAAAACTTTGTCGAAATAAATAAATATATATTATTAATATAATCTCTCTCTCTCTCTCTCTCTCTCTCTCTCTCTCTCTCTCTCTCTCTCTCGGGGGGATAATAAAAAAAAAGTTACAAGATTTTGCAGCAAAGAGTGAAGCTAACGAACGAGTCTTTCATAATAAATTCCTCGAGCAATCGCGAAACGATTATTACTGCAAGGAGGCCGATCAAAGCACCTGGAATTTACTTCGAGAACGATAAATTGTAGAACTAGTCATTTCTAACGCTTTTTTTTGTAACAACCGACCGGTCTACGATACTCTTTGGATTCCATCAAACGTTCGAGATATTCGCTATTATGAACTATCGATAAAACCGATTTAGATTTTTTTTTCTATTCATTGTAAATTTTCAAGACTATGTTTAGTATTTCCTGATTATTTAATCGAATTATTTCAACGAGATCGTGGAATCACTTGTGTGACTGAAGGATTTAGTCTCAGGGAACGTAAGGATATATTGTTTCTCAAAGATATTGTGTTGAAGTATTATACTCTATTCGAATATCAAAGGATAATACTCTCGTGTAAATACTTTTCCGTTTAAACCCATTCATCTTTTTAATAGAATAGTGTTAAATTTTATTTGGATTGTGGTATTGAAAACGATGATTAAACAATTGATTTTGTTATAATATCAATTAATTTTATTTTATATCATTAATGCACTCAGATGACACACCAAATAATCTTAATAACTAGTTCTCCCTTTTTTAGACTGAAAGATATATTTATAAAACCATCATGGATTTTTCCTTTTTCTTCTGACCACTTCTCCCCTAACATTGCTTATCTCAAAATTTGTAAGAAACTTTGTTCAAACAGAATTTATTAAGAGAAAGAAAATAATTGTTACTTGAAATATTTGTTAGAATAATTGTGTAACGAATTAATTATGAATAAGTAGTGTGTTTATCATAAAACTTTGTATAATATCGTTACGTGCAACATGCAAATTAATTTCAATGGCGAACTTCTCGAAAACTAGTTATACAACAAATAAGTAATATAATTAATAATATTTACCTCGTAAAAATAAAAAGAATCAATCTCCTCGGTGGCGTTAACGTCCAGAGAAGTTATATTGAAGTATTCCTGCATTAGAAATATTCCATCGGTTGCATTTTTGCCAATATCGACAACAATGTCATCGCTTTGATTTCGATTACTTCTTTGCTCTCTGTTTTGATCGACTACCGACATTTTGTAGGATCCTATCTATCCTTCCTTACTTTTTTTGTTTCTTTCCCTTCTATTTCCTTCTCTATTTTGTCCAGAATTATTAATTCTTCAACGTGTTGTATATCCTTGAAATTTTGTATTAGACAAAAATCTCGCGAACATCTTCATGAAAATTCTTTCTCGATCACTCTTCTTTTATCTTCATTTTCATTCGATTTGAATAATAAAGTTCGCGACACCTTTCTTTCCTCTTTCTTCGAATAAATAATCCTCTTTTGAAGCATCTTTCAAATAAAACGTACAAATAATTCTATGAATATATGCGCGCACATACACAAATGTAACACAGTCTTTTTGTAAATATATTTTCTGCATTGTTTTTGTTTAATCGAAAATCTACATCATGCCAGGTATACGTGGGATTCTACGAGCCATTTATTTTAAATATTCCTTCCATCACTCTCTCGCGATTTCTTTTCTTTTTTTTTATATTTTCCTATGTAATGTTCCAAACTTGATAGGAGATAAATCTAATACGTATAAAACTCGGAGATTCCCTTCTGCCCTTTAAATTTCTTTACGTAGGTAGAAAACGTTATAACTGTATATAGAAATATGAGGGATCGAGTGATATACCGAGAAAAAAAGATTATTACTCGTCGGGCAATATATAATAAAAGAATAGTTTCTCGATTGGAATGTTGATAATAGAAAAATTACAAATGAAATATAAAAAGAAATCAACAGGTTGCGATATAAAGGTAGAATTAATTACACGAGTAGTAGCAAACAAAGCACCGTTCGAACATTGTTTCAAATTTAATGTGAAATAAGAGACCTAAGGGATTTAATATATTTACTATATAGTAATTGGCCATGCCAGATGAAAAACAATTCAGTGTCGTACTTTTTTTAAATAATTTTCAACGAGGGACACTCGTCCGGGTAACAAAAATCTAACCTAAGGAAAGAATAACATTAACAACAAAATGAGGAGGGTAAAGATGTCGAAGAAGGAGGGTAGTTCGGTTTTCTCGTTAATCTTAAGCTCTCGAATCGTAAATCCCTTAGCTCATCTATCGGATAATATCCTCGCCACCTGTTTTTCTGAAACTTCTTCGAGAATCGATTGTACAGCCTCGCCAAGGCAAAATAGGAAAATCCAGGGGAAAAAAAGTAGAGTGGTGTGACAAAAAAAAAAAGAACCCAGGAATAAAATATCTATAGACGATGGCATGGAGAAAAACGAATCAACGTGATTTCGGATGTGATTTCATCTACGTGAAATCGAACCCGTTTGATCCCCTCCACAATCTCTTTCTAGATGAATATTTCGGTCAAACGGATCCACAGTTTTTTATTCTTTTATTATTCGGAAATATTTCACTACGCTTTGTTTCGTTTTATATTTCTCTTTCGCGATTAAAAAATCATAGAATAAAATTGAAAATACTTTTATACTCTATGTGTGACGTACACTTATATTATAATCTTTTTTAAAGAACACGAGGACAAATTTTTATTATGAGGATGAATATGTTCACGTGTGTGTGTGTATTGAGTTAAAACACTTTAAAGGGATCGATCGGCTTATCTGCGATACGTGTTAGACTCGATTACCAGGCATTCTACAATGCAAATCTAATACGACCCGATTGTATTGACGTATAATCAAACTAAACCCGCACATTTATCTTTCACGTTAATTGCTATTTTTATTTTTTTTTCTTGTATTTTCAAACATTAGAATCATGAATAATTTCAATTAATATCATATAAAGTAAGATAAATGTAAATAATTAATGGGAATTTATGAACTGGTTTAATAAACATCCTACGAATCGTTCCACGAGTTATCGTTTTATGAATAACCAGTCCAATTGATATGCAATCTCGTCAATTAAATAATGACAAAAAAAGGCAGAGTAAATGATTCAGTAGAAAATAACAAGGAACGTATTTATCATCCAATGAAATTATGCAATTATTATTTTCTTTCCAAGTCATTTACATAATCTTCTTTGAAATGTTCGATCTCGATATCTATGGAAGATTCCAATTTAGAGTTGCAATTATAGGGGAAATGGTTTGATTAAAAGATACATAGTTGGTATTGTGGTCTCTTTATCTCTATAATTTACCACGAAGAATTTCAAAGCACTTTGAACCTAAATTACAAACCGAAAATCGAGTTTGAACGGAGGATAAGTCTAGACTACCTCCCTCTCCACGTGTGACGCTGAAATGCGAGCTATAAGGAAGTTTACTTCTTTTAAAGAGCTAAACGATGTTCAAAGTGAGACTTTTTTATTCCATTTTCTTATGAAAAGTTTTTGCCAGGAAAAGATTTTTCGTAGTAATCATCTAAGACAAGTTTAATGACGTTTTCTTTTTTATAATTGAAGAAAAAAAGAAGTCTTTCATTCCCTTTTCTTTTCATCTCTATTCAAATTGTAATAACTTTTAATAAAATCTTTGCCGTGGTTGTTTAATTTTGTTAATATAAGTCGCGTATTTCGATAAATGTTACTTTAGTCAAAAAAAATACGAGAGTAATACCGATTACGCAAAGGGTTTCCAAATTTCTAATAATAAATATGTGTAAAGCAAATAAAAAATCTCTCTATATATATCTATATATAGAAATATTTAGATATTATTAATTTTAGTGAATGAAGGGGGGAAAAAAACATTGGAAATGAAGAATAATAAATAAGAGAACGTGGAAAATTACACTAGCTCGTACGAAACGCGAAACGCGACTGAAGGAAGAGAAGAACGGTGAGAGTAGTCGCTTCAAAAGATAGCCGACGATGACTGAATTCGCGCGCACGCTAGTGAACGAGGAAACGAGTTGGTGGGAAAGCAAGAGCATCGAAAAAGGGTGGGAGGGAGGTTTGGGAGAATGAACGACTAAAGAAGAAGAATCCTAGTGATTATTCCTCTTTCTTTTTACCAACCACCAAACTTCATCTACTTTCCTACAAGTTTTCATCCCTTTTTTCTTGTTTTACAAATGATTCTCCTAGAATCACCATGTTCTCATACAAATTGTGTTTTCACGCATTCTTAATTGGAAACATTTAAATCATTATTATTAACAGGTAGTTTCTAACATAATTAATAGGAACGTGAGGTAATTTTAAATATCCTTCGAATCCATCTCTAACGAGAATCATCGTGATTTTTTCTTTTTTTTTTCAGATACATCAGTGCAACTGATATTTAACGTGTAATAATGTTTATTAATTATATAGATGAATCGATCAAACTTTTTCTATAAAATAGATAATATATTGACAGTGTATTATTAGAATTACGTAAATATTATAGGTCGTAAAAGTTTCCTAACTATTTGAAAAAATTATACTCCAATGAAATCGCGAATGCTAAATACTATTTATCAGGGTACTTACAAAACCGCCCGTATTTTTTCTTTAACATTCAAACGTGCAATGATTTACTGAAATGCATTCGGATGCATAAAGCTGATCGTTCGAACGGAAACACGTTCACCCGTATTTCGGCTTCTCCGAGCCAATAAATAACGGTCTACCAAGGGCTGTTATAAATAATTAAAATTTCAAATGCAATACACACAAACACACACGAGGATGGGTATTTGATTTCGCAACACGTCATGCATTGTCACGTTAATCAGCTTTAATTATATTTAAGTTATCTTCCTATTTTCACTATCATTGAATTTTATCGATTAGACAGACGCTTCTTTAAATTGTTTGCAAACAATGTCTCTTAATATTCGATATCAATATTTTAAAGGTTAATTAAATGAAATAATACAGACGAGGGTAATTCAATACAATCTTCTTCCCATTACTTTGAACGTTTTAAATTGAATATTAGGAAAGTTTTCCTTCCCATTCTCGTCTAATATCTGATCGTAATCTCTGGCTAATAGAACTTCGTATCCACAACGGGTAGCTGATTTTTGAGAAATCGTCGAAGTAAATGCTGTTGCCGTCACGGGAACATTGTATGCTCGACCAATTTGTTCTCTAAATATTACACAAATCATAATTAGTTTAATATCGATGATGTTAGACTAAAAAAATTAGATGCTTCTTCTTCACCTTGCACGTAGAATATGTGCACCAAGATTATGACCGCGATAGAAAGGATGAACGCTTAATCCAAGAGCATACATGTATCTATCAGTATTGAAGTGTTCGTAAATCTTCGCTTCTTTGCACAACGATATCACAGGTTCGATTACCTTTTTAGCTAAAGGTGATTCCAGCTAGAAACAAAAATGAATAAATGTACCGTTACGAATGATTACAAATTTGTGTTGGATTTTGATTTGATTTTGATTTTGATTTAATTAAAAAGACGTGCATTATTTACCGGATAATTATCAACTTTTCTTTCGTCATCTTTAATTTCAACTCCTATTATATTAGCTCCCACTATTTCGGGTTTACCTCCTTTGGGATTTTCGACAAAGGCACCGATCGCCAATCCTTGTTTTAAGATTATTGTCCATAGATCTCGAAATTCATGCATAGCTAACGGATCTTCCATTAATTCTGCAAATATTCTCGAGTGTTAGATGTTGTAACAAAGATAATGTTGATATCTCGTTTAAAAACGAACAATAATTAACGATATCGAGTCGCGAATGATATTTTTTCATATTTTCCAGATACGTTAACAATTTATTTATTAAATTTCTCGATAAAATAAAACGTAAAAGAAATAACCGTTGGAAAATTGATAAAATAATAAATAATCGATGTACGCCCATCAATAAATTAATGAATTTCTATTAAATAATCGTAGTACTCACTTAGACAAGAACAGCAAGGTTCGTCTACGATGAAATATGTGGACATATAATCGAGAAAATCTTCGTATCTGTCCTCCGGTATTTCTTGCAAAATTATCTTAACGGGTTTAGATTCATCTCCAACGGTTTTAAATCCATCAACAATTTTCCAGATTTTAATCGGGCCAGGCGTTCTAATCGGCGGCAATTTAATCTCCTCGAGATTAACACTTTTCTTTTTTGCAATTCGACTCATCCTTTCTTTACTTTTGCCAATATGTAATGTTGAAAAGAAAATATATAAGTCTATCTAGTAAGCTGACGTGACTTGCGGCAAATATGCTATACTCGATTGCACAATGTTCTTTATTAAAGACAGCCCCTCTTGCCAACGATAAATTGAAGAAAATTGCATCGTCAATGTGTTTTATTTATTAAGCTTCAGCAAAAATTTTATTATATTTCTCTTACTTACGATCAAAATCCGATTGAACAAAAAACTCTCCACATTTTCACGATTAATTTTCTTTTTTACAACTTTATCAATTTGTTAACAATCTCATTTTGACATGTTTAATTTCTCGTGAAAATATATCATTTTAAAGGCAGATTTTGTTAGAAAATAATTGGTTTATACTTACTTTTAAAAATGTGTCTGTGCGCGTTTATTTAAAATTGTCGAAAATTTCGTTAAAAAAGATCATCTAACAAACCGAACCAAGTGAATTTGCAATCGCACACTTGTCAGTACTGCGATAATGTGCAAGTAAGAAGATTTCTAGAGAGTGGGGCGTTTTAAACTCATTCGTACTTTACGTAATGTATAGGTAGTTGCATTATATCAGAAGGAACAAATATTAATAAGAGGTTCTCGTATTGTAAATTACTTATAATTTTTCTAATTAACTGATTATTTATTATTTATTATTTAATTACAAGTATAACTGTAATAATGTCATCGAAGACGTTTCTATCAACTCTGACTATGCAATTCTGTTTGATGATAGCATCTAAACCTCGTTAAAAATGCAATTTAACATGTTAATACGACAATCGTATGTTTTCCACGTGCTTAGCTCGCAATATTTAAAATAGTATCAAGTTGATATTGTATCGCTCATGCACGACGATAATGATGACAAATATATTTTCAATGGAAATTAAAAGACGCATAAGACTATTTCCTGCATTGTACAAAATTATTATAACCAATTTTTATTTCTTTTTATTTTGTTACGTACACACATAATAAAGAAAATATTTTGTATATACAAGATTTACAATTGAACAAAATAATATCTCCAAAATAACATTCATCGTATTCTATATTTTATTTCGTAAAATCAGTATTAAAATCATAATTATCCGACGACGATAGATTAAATCCTTCCAATTGATCAGCTAGGACAGAAGTTGCTTTCTCTGAAATTGTATAATTAACATTTATTAATTAAATCAATTTTTTATAACACAGGTTTATAAATACATTGTCTGTAACAAGAATTTATAAGCATACCTCTTCGGGCTTTTTCTTTCTTCTCTTTTTTAAATTGAAGCTTTTGTAATTTGTTTAATTTTTGATTGCCCTCCAATTCCATCTGCGGATCTGTTTTCTTTTTCTGTTCTCTTTTAATTACTTTAGGTTTAGCTTCGAGTTTCTTCTTCAATTTATTTTGTATTTTAAATTTCTAGACGATATAAATAGAATACATTTTATTATATATTGAAACATTAAATGACACAAATGTCTACTTACTTTATCTTTCTCAATCTCTACTTCCATAACTGATGTTACGGGTCCTGTACTGTCAAATAATACTGGTTCTACTGTAATATCTTTATTTGCTGCTTCAACATCGTCTAACATCATTCTTTCTTCTGCAGCAAAACTTTCAATGTCAAATTCCTTAGCCATTTGGCTAACAATTTCTGCAGATAAATGGCAGAGGGGTTCTTCAGGTGGTTCTGTATAATACCTAAAGTACATTTTCGAGAATTTTAGTAGAAGAAATTGAAGAGACGTGTAAATATAGAAAGGGGTACCTTATTTTTCCAGAATTCCAATCTTCTAAGACACAACGTGCAGCAGTCAATTGATTAGGAACACCACCTCTCTTAAATTTTCCCATTCTTGTTGCTCTCAGAGCAAAAAATTCGTCAGGTGAATTATATTCTGGGACATCATACAAATCCATAACTTGTTGTTTCGAAAGTCTTCGTAAAATTGCAGTAGCTGGTGTGTATGGATCCTGAAGAGCTTGAATTCTTATTGCATTTTTAAGAGCTATGGATGTATCATCCATACCATCAATTGATGAGTTTTGACTAGCAAAAACAATACCAGGTGAATCTAATAATTTTATTTTGGAATCCAATTGTACCACTTGCATTGCTCTTGTAACACCTACGAGTAAAAAACAGAATAAGAGTTTTTCTACGGATAAAAATAATTGATGTTGCATTTAAATAAAGATTCAGGTTACATACCAGGTACACTTCCAACATTGCATGCTCTGCTTCGTTTTAGAGAATTGATAACACTTGATTTCCCAACGTTGGGAAGTCCAGCAACGCCAACTCGAATACTTGTCTTAACATTGCTACTATTTCTACAATAATTAGCTAATAAAGATAGCAATAATTCGGCACCAAAGCATGTTCCACTTTGAATCATATTCTCCGTCTTCTTTCCCAACTTTCTTCTGCCTAATTTTTTCGATTGATCTTGGGTTGAAGATTTAAAAGCAACTGCTGGTAAACTTCCCCGCAAATACTTCAACCATTTGTTTAAATTTTCTCGTGGTACTAAATCTGCTTTGTTTAACACTATAACTAATCGTTTATTACCCTTAGCTGAATGCACGGCTTCTTCTAGCTAGATTCAATTTATTCATTGTATTAAGTAATTGTTATTGTTGTTATTTAACTATGATTGCACGTACTGAAATATTTTGTTATTTACCTGTTTGCACCTGGTACCTAACGGATCGCGTGCATCAACAACTTCTAAGATAACATCAGCTGCATCTAAAACTTTCTTAAATTCTTTGTAATAAGCCTTTAATGAATTTTCTTTTTGTGCAACAGCATCTTTAATTAATTGACTTTTATTATCGTCTATTTCCATTGCTTCGTGTTCGTCAGCTTTCTTCTGTGCTTCTTTTACCAATCCTTGCAGACCATTTTTTGCAAGTTCGGCATGTTTCTTTTCTTTAGCAGCTTCCCGCTGTTTTTGTTTCTCCTCCTCATTATGTTTTTTCATGGCTTCTACTTCCTTGAGAATATCTTCTTTAAATGGACATTGATTTGGAATTTCGATTACCTTGGATTTTCCTATTTTTAAACAAAAGCATTCATTGAATAGATTTATAATTTCATTTCATAAGCAGAAACTAGCAAAATACCTTTCTGTTTCTTCTTAGCTTCTTTCCTCATCTTTCGATTGTGTTCTCGGACTTTCTTTTCTATTTTATACCTTTTTCTCGCTGGTATACGTTTGCTTGGTTTTTCTGTTAACAAAAAATTCCATTAGATAGTGTAACACAGTGCAGAAAAAAAGAAATTTAAAAAATTATAAGTTCGTTCAGGGATTATAAGATAGGAACAACCTCTCCTAACCTACACATATTTTTATTCTTGTAATCAATGTAGAACTTACTCAAACAGAATTTGGCCATCTTTGTCAATTATGTAATGTTTCTATAATTTAAATTAATTTAAAATTATTTATTTATATTATTTCTTATTTTTTTCGGAATAACCAACAATGTCCACGTGCTCGTCCGAATGAGAAAGACAAGGCGTCAACAGGTTCGGTAACTTAGCAGCGACAAAAATTCCTAGGCGTTAGAATTTTTCACGTTATTAATATTGGTCATTTTGAATGATAGAAAACGCCAGTTTTTTTTATCTATTTTTTTCTTATTCGTGTGCGTATATAAATATTAACATAAAATTCCTTTACAAAACACAATGGAAAACGTAAAACGATATATAATCCGTGCGAGAAATTTCGCTGCAGTGTCTTTTTTCTTTTTTTTTTTTTTTAAACTTTCTGAACGCAGACTGTTGGATATTGTCGCGGATTATTGCAAATTAATGTGTGTAAAATAAGATAAGGATAAAATTAAAAGTTTTCTTTATTTACTGCGTATGCGTTTGTTCTGCTAATCGTTCCAGTTTCGTATTACATGAAAAATTCATTAAGAGTACTTTCATCTTCCCGATCTGTCCTAGAGTAAAATAAACAATTGAAACGGTGAAAGGCATTGTCAGACGCATATGAGAATTCTCACACTTTCATTGGAATTTATAAAAAGCGTTAAAAAATTCGCCGTTAAACGTACGTAAACGCATATGTAGTTGCGTGTACGTGAACATAAGAGATACATACGCGAAAACGATGTTGGGAGAGATGAGAACAGAAAATTCTCACAAATTGTTTCCCGTGCGAAGCATCATACTTTCGTTTTTGTGATCAAATTTCTCCGTACCTATACTTTACAATCCTTAATATCTTGTTTAATCATTTGGAAAAGAATGACGGTATAGGGAAATCATGAGATCGATTAGAAAAGATATAGGAGATTTTTACAAAATTAATGATGGCCTATATATAAAAGTATTCAATGGTGTAGCGTAATTAGAATATATCTTTTTAGAGTTGCTTTATTTACTTAGTTCAAATTTTAGGGATTAAGGGGAGAGAAAAAACATCGATTGCATAAATAGAGGAAAATGCAAGGGCGATATGCATTGAATGCAAGGCAGGTTATTGGTTGAAAAAGATGAATACTACTAGGAATAATTTAGTTGATAGTATGGGCAGAAGGTGTCGTTTGATCACGTGGAATGAATTTATTCATTTCCGTAATGGCCGCAGTCTAGTGTTGTTCGTTTAGTGCGTTCTCTTCGCGCGCGCGACGGAGAGAGCGCGAGAAAATTTCAAGGAGAGGGAGAAAATCAGAGTGAGAGAGAGAGAGAGAGAGAGAGAATGAGAGAGGGAGAGCGTGAAAAGAAACTCCGGACGTGCTGTCGTGAAAATTCAGTAAGCGCCGATCAACGTCGCGTGCTGTGAAAGTGTTGTGTTGTTTGCTTGTATTCGAAAACCTTCCTCGTTCTTTTAACCAACGGGGAATACAAGAAAGAACCGTCTTACCCCCTGGAATAGTGTTCCATTCCTTCCAGTAGTAGGAGGAGTACTTGCAAATAGTATAAACGAGAAACGCACGCCGAGATTCTTCTTCTTTTACGAGGTGGACCTAGTGGTGTTACTCAGAGATGTGTATGATGATGATGTTTCTGTGAGAGAGTGAGTTAGTGCGCGCGAGCGCATATGTGCCTATGCGTTTGCCCTTATTGTTGGTGGTGGTGAGTAGTGTGTTTCTCTCGTTTGTACGATCATTTGACGAGGGGGTGGAGGAAGAAGAGGAGGACGAGGAGGACGACGACGACGACGAAGACGCGTTGTCACGTTTCACGTGGACGAGCGTCCTTCGTTATTATATTTCAAGAAAACAGACGGTGGATAGGTGAAATTTTACGAGACGCCGCTTGTTCGTCGCTTCAGTTATCTCTTTGAGACGATCGAGAGAGAGAGAGAGAGAAAGAGAGAGAGAGAGGGGGGGCTGGAGGGGGAGAAAAAGAGGGCACTTCTGCGCTAGACAGAAGGAGGTATCACGGTTGTGTTGTTAGTTAGCCATCGTAAACAGAAATGTTGACAGTCCTATTTGGACGTAGAAAATGATTGTTAAAATATATAAAGAATAAAAGAGGACGAGTTTGGACGTTGTCGAGAGGAAGGAAACCCGTTGACGACGTTCGACGCATACGCCTCCCCGCTAGGAATTCTCCACCGTGGTTCAAGGTCTTCTAAAATCATCCAAGTACGTGCAGAGTCGGTCTGCCTGCCAAGGCTCCTCGAGAGAACAAGACGGAGGTTTCTCTTTTAACGAGAAAAACAACTTTATTGTTAGTCCGATTTACTTTTCTTTCTTGATATTCTGTTGGTGCACAAGTTTTTGGTGCAGGACACTCTGCACGACGTTGACATTAACGTTGACGTTGACGTTGACGTTGACTTTGACGTTGACGCGTCAACGTTTCACGTTTTATTCCTTTACGTTAAGAAAAAGTATCGTCGTTTCTAGTGTTACTTTAGAAGCTGTGTAAAAGAAATAAGAAGGAATACAGCAGGTGTGTAGACTTTGTCCAACTTTTTTATTATCTATGTTTCGTTGTATTTTTTCTTTTTTTTTCTTATTTCCTAACATGACGCTGCTTATATAAAAGACGAACAAATTATCCTGAGCTCGTCGGAAAAAATGATATCCATCCATTCTTAATCGTTTATTATTTTTCACGATACTCGATGCAGCACAGTGTTGTCGAATTTTTTGTCGAACGTTTATTTCCATTATTCGTATCGAGCATTGTTCTTAATTGTTATCGAATAACAACAAATTGTTTAAATAACTAAGCGAGAACATTTGGTCGTAATGTAAATTGCATTGAATAAGCAGGTCCGAATTAATTGTATACGGGTACGGGCGAGTCGTAAAAACCTGACCGTCTCTGACGTTTTAAGTTAAAAATAAAGAAGAAGGAAAAAAACAAAAAAGAAGAAGAAGAAGAAAACGTGACTCGAGCCACCTTCGTAATTACCGGCACGTGGAACGAATTTTGTGTACTTCGTTTCGATAAGAATCGCGACACGTTGCGTTGCGTTTTTGCCGGCTTATTCGCAACCACGTGCGTTCAGCTGATCAATAAAAAAAGGAATACCGACGCGCGTCTTGATGGCTGCTCGATCGTGATAATCTTAATAAATTAAATACATCGAAGAGAGATTAATATAGTAGAGTATAGTATTTAAAATCTAACAAGTTAACACGATATATAATTTCAATTTCAATGATCGTATTAACTATAATATAAATGATTTAAGAAATATATATTCCAGTTTTTGTCGGGATAGGAATAACCGAGAAAGAAATAATAGATCCTTTTTAACGTATTCAATTAAGATTAGAATGCGTCGAAGCGAGTTCGTTTACGTAACTAACCAGATAATCGGTTTACCTGTAATAACTATCGTAGTTATTCGCTCGTCGATCAATTCGATACTTTTTATGCGATAGAAATACACCATTAAGAATATATTTCGTTGAAATAATAATAATAATGCCGGTCGAGTCACATTTATTTTTCTTCGATAAAATATTTCTTTAATTTTGCAGTAGAGTTTAGGTATGCGATTGCATTTCCAAAATGTTATTTAACTCGTGGACGTTCATGTCATAGGTACGAAAGGAGCAAGACAATTTTGGAAGTTCATCCAGAAGAAGAGAATGTGTGTGCCAATCGATGAAACAGAGTCTTCCTTTCCGATTGTTTCGAGTAATCGATCTAACGTGATTTGAAATCGTGATTCCACTGCCAAAAAAGGAGACTTTAGAAGTTCCAAGAGAGAGAAAGGAAAAAGAGAGTGTGAGATAGAAAAGGATAGAAAGATGGCAAGCTGTTAGATTAGTTTAGAGAGCCCACGCATAACTTGGAAGTCTTCCCGAAGAAGCATTGTGTTGCTGATTCGAATCTAAGAAGAATTAATCTTCCCCCCTAGTTTTCGTCATTAAGATCAACATCGAGGAGTATCGTCGTCGTTTATACGGCAATGCGGTGGCATATTCATCGTCGAACCTTATCGCGCATTTATTCTTCGTGTTGGGCAAAGTGGAAGTTGCAAGAATAACGGCGAGGATGTTCGGGAAGGTGCCGGTCGGCGGTATAAATTCAAACGCAGGCCCTGGACCACCTAATGAAAATTCTACGAGCAGCAAGGTGTCGTACGCGAGGCCAACGACTGGGGGGACAACAACAACAACGACGTGCCTATCGTGTTACGAAGTAGCAGCTATTCAGTCGAGTGCTTCCGATGATAAAGCAAAGTCTTGGTGTCCGGTGGTATCCGAGTTATCGTCAACGTGTAATAATCTTTCGCAAGATCGTTCCTATCCCTTGTCCACTTCGTCATCCGTTTCGGAGATCAACGGGGTGACGAGAAACGAACAACAACAACAACAACAAGCTTCTTACTCGACCAACAGGAATCAGCAACTCGCCAATAAATCCTCTTCTTCCATTAAAGATTCCACGAGGATCCACAGATGCTATTCCAATCCGAATTGTCCTGGTCTAGCGAGTACAGCAACGAAAACGTCTATCGGTAGTAATATTTCGCCAAGATCCCAAAGAATTGCAATTAATTCCGTGACTTCGAATCTCGAGCCGAAACTAATAAGAAAACATTCGGTGGGTAGTCGAGAATTGTTGGCCTCGTCTAAATCTAATTTCCGAGATTTTGGTCAATCGAGAAACAACGATGATAGATCCGAAAACGTTGACGAAGTTTCTAATGTCGTTGACGAATACGTGGATCCTTCGACGATCCTGACGGGCACCACTACTTCGTCGAGTGTTCATCAAACACGAGCTACGCTAAAATCTAGCTCGAGGTCTAATTCAACGAGCTGCGATAATTCTTGTTGCTTCGAAAGAACCACGGATAATAAAAGTGATCCTATCTCGGCCAAGGATCATTATCATCATTATCAACAACAACAACAACAACACCATCATCATCACCATCATCATCATCATCATCATCATCGCAACAATCTTGCCCGTACCCCGGCCGAACTTTTGCAACAAAATTGCATAGACTTCGTCATTCAAGATTTACCGACCGAATTACAATCCTCGCCTAGAAGTTACAAGGATCGTGAAAAAACTCGGGACACCTGGAGACCAACCGAGATGGAGGGGACAAATTTGTGCGGATTGAACTCTTGCTCCGGTGACACCTTCCAAGATGGTAACACGTCCAAGAGGAGAACCGGTGCATCCTGTCAAGCCCTCAGGCACGCCGTTGCTTCCTTGAATCGTCTCGATGACTTTTATATGGAGAAAATCGGCGCTGGTTTCTTTTCCGAAGTCTATAAGGTACAAGATTCTAATTTACGATCGGATATAATTTCTTTTCTTTTTTTTTTTTTTATTTTCATTTGTCGTTTCCGTTAATTGCACCGTCGATTTTCAAATTTAATCACAAATTCCATTAGATAAACAAATTCTTTTTTTCTTACCCGGGGTCAAAGTCGAAATCCTATTATTATTATTATTTTTTTATCATCGTTATCATATTATTTTATATATGCACATAGTGAGTGTGTGTGTTTTTCATCAAATAATTGACTACTAAAGATATTTATTATATTTGTTTTTCTTATCGAATCGATTATTTATCGTTCCAAAAGAAATCCGTAGAAACTTGTGAATACAATTACGCACCAAAGGAACGTTATCTTTTGTAGATTAGTATCGGTTCAGATTAGATACGGTTGCGCGTAGAGAAACGAGCACGTAGAACAACAACGAAGAACCAGCTTAGAATTCTCTCTCTCTTTCTCTCTCTCTCTTTACTTCGTCAAATTGAAATCGCGTTGTTTCTTCTTTTTATTCTTCTTAGAGATGTAATCGGATCTTAATATTTTTCCTGTCTTGACGGAAACTTCTCTTTTCGAAAAACTCAAATCACACAATGTCTAAAGCTAATCTTTTTTTCTTTTCTTTTTCTCTTCTTGTTTCAACATTATTAAATCACATTTGAATTTTATTTAATAGAAAATATCGAAGTATCTTTTCCTCGAGAGGTAGTAATAGCACACACGCGAATGAATTTAAATGATAATCATTAGAGCAATAATATCTTTTGATCGATCTATCGTTGAAACGTCGTAAAACGTGCACGAGTTAGATAAGTTTGAATTATTTCTCGTGGGTACTTAGTGTAACGTAAAATTCGTATTAGATATATTGGATAACAAAAAGGAAGAATAGGAAGGATGTGTTTCGTGATTATTTTTATCGTTATATAAAAAAAAAAAAAAAAAAAAAAAAAAATTTGTTGAGATAGAGAAAAACGGAAATCGTTGAGGTATCATCATTTTCGTTTGACTTCCTACTCGTAGGTATATTTTTTTTTCTTTTTTTTTTTTTTTTAGTTGAAATCATCCAAACATTCTCGATACAAATTTCGTGGAAAATAGAATCATACTTTTTATTGTACCATATACGCGTATAGTTAAAGAAAAATCTTCCGTGTGTTAAACGAATGAGTTTTAGAAAGCGCCTTAGTCGTTTAGAACACGTGACGAATGTTATTATTTGACGTATGCCAGCTCGGATGTTACAATTTAACCGACAGATGCGTTCCAAAGAAAGAAAGAAAGAAAGAGAGAGAATATCTGGTAGTTAGAAATGCGTTAGAGAGGAAGTACCGATTTAATCGAAAAAGAAAATCATAAAAATCGGTTCTCTCTCTTTTTTTTCTCGATTTTTTCGATTTTTTCAATTAGAAAGTGTTGTATTACTCGACGATCTACGCGAAATCGAAGTAGAATGAAAGTAATCGATCAATTTGTTCCTTTAATAATACATCTCACGTCCGATATGATTTAGATTTTCTATGGAAAACAAAAAAAAAAAACAAAAAGTATAGAATAATTCTCGAACGTTTCTTTTTTATTATATTAATTGATAGTTTAAGCGTGTATGAATAAAAAAATAGGGGGATAAAAGAAAGAAAACGTGGATGTAGGGTTACACTTGCTAGCCAGAGGTCACACATTCTTGGCACTCATGTCAGAATAAGAGGATGGTACGAGTTTGGTGCCAAGATTTTGGACCGAACTGTTGGTTCTAGCAGTTTTCCTCACTGACATGAGAATTATTCAACGATGACGACCATCTCGGAGTGTAAGAGAAAGATAGTGAGTGAGTGAGTGAGTGGTTTCTCGTTGGCAACACAAATGATTCCTCTCTCTCCCCATCCAAGTAGTTTCTCTCGTCGACTTCGTTAAAGACGTTATCATAGTGATCTTCTCTCAGCCGAAGGTCGTCAAATTAATTATCTCGCAGCGAATTAAATCGGGGTCAAGGACTCCAAAGGAGAGAAAGAGAGAGAGAGAGAGATTAATCGAAGATATTTTTATGAGTAAATCACAATAATTTTCTATTTCCACACCTGCGGATATTTATTTTCTTTTTAAATCACCCTTCCCCCATCCCCATCCCCATAAATTTATCAACGTTGTTCGTAGATTTTGTCTTTTGTTTCCTATCTCTCCTGGGTGATGATCGATCGATAATAAACATTATTTTTCGTTTGTTAGGATCGATGCCATGCATAGGATGAGTTAACTAAATATATGATTAATACGTCTAGAAATACATCAGGGGGGAGAGAGATTTTTTGTTGTCAGTAGAATCGAGGGGGACGGGATATAATTTCGTTGGATAGAAGCAGTAGCACAGTTTTCGTCTCAAGTATTACGAAATTTCGCTGGATCTTGGATGGTATTCAAAAGTTGACTCATTGTTTTTGTCAATCGTTGACACCGCAGTAATTCACGACTTCCTTTTCAATAATTTCTATTTTCTTATCACAATCGAGAATTCATATTTTTACGAGATAAACATTAGTTTTTCTTTTATTTACAATTAAATATCCTTATATTAAAAAGATAGAAAAAATTTAGCGAACACGAAAAAAGAAAGAAAAAATGATCTATCGTCTCGTTTGTGTGATATTCGGTCATCGATAAATATCGAAGGTGGGGAAAGTGGCGCTTGCGATAGGATCGAAAGAAGAACAGGCACCAGGATAAAAAGATGACCTTGCCTTGTGTGTGACACAAGAGTTAGCACCGGTGCACCAGCTATTTCCTCTTCTTCTTCTTCCTCTTTTATTTCTGCCCCCTCTTCTTCCTCCTTTTTGTTCTTGTTCTTCTTCTTCTTCTTGTTGAAGGAGTATGGCGAAGGAGAGCCAGCAAGCGTATAAAAGAATGTTGTTAAATGTTGTGTGTTGGCGGTGGAGGAGGAAGAGACGAGAAAGCCGGTCACGGCACGTTGGCCATGGAGTACGAACACTCTCTAATGAGACCCTCTTACGGACCCCGGTCGTTCACTCTTTTTCGAACCTCCCTACTTCCCATTTCAACCCCACCACCACCACCTACATCTCTTACTTGATTCATTATAATCGAGTTGACGAACCCTAACAGATGATATATTATGAGAATGAGAATTTACGACGATTCAGAACAGATCAAACTTATCGATCTTTTCTTTTTTTTCTTTCTCCTCCTCCTCCTCCTCCTCCTCTTCCTCTTTCTCTTAAGTAATTTGCATTAATTTACATACACGCGTTTGTAGGTACGTACATACGTACGTATGTGCATATAAAGCTTTCTGGTATTTAATTAGACCGATAGCTAGCATGTAAAACGAAACTGTTTACTAATTAACCAAGCAAATATCCTTCCCCTTGTGTGTTTCTACAAACACTTTGCCATATAATTCGATCGACAACGGAAAACGGGCATAACGTTTAGCCGACAAAATTTTCCTACGAATTTATACTTTATCGTTTTTATTAATATAACTTTAGAGACAAAGTGCAAGATTTTCTTGTTCTATTTTATTTGTTTATTCAAACATTAAACTAGAATTATCTATTGAATAAATATTGAGAAAGATAATGATAATATAAGTATATAAAGATAGATAAATTAATATTATAATATAAAACCAGAGAATACAGGAATTTTCGTTGTTGTTTCTATTCTTTAAAGAGAATAAACGAAAGATTTTTTCGTATTTGCAGTACGTTTTTATTCGTCATCGTATTTTGGCTTTAAATCAATCGAATCTTATCCAGATATTGGCAAACAAATTCTATCGAGAGAGAGAGAGATCTTCGAGATTCTTTTGTCCAAGTAAAGAATTTTGTCCTTACAAGTAATACGAATTATTCCTTGATTCATTTTTTCCTTTGGGTGGTTTTATATTGATTCGTTAAAATCACTCGGATTATAATTCTCGGTCGTCGTTCATTCGTTCGTTCATTTTGATTGCACCAATGAGAGACACGTGTCGTAAAAGGGTAATATCGCGATCTTAAGAGGAATAATGGGACAATTAACAGGCCCCCGAGGTCTTATCGTTAAAATCTCAAGGAAAAATAATATCAATGATTTTGAAGGTAGAGAAAGGATAAAGTTCGGTCTGATTTCAAAGCCATTTTTGGTGTTCATTGAGGTCGCCGCCATACGTTCTCGTGAGACGTTTATGTTCTTTCGTGTATGTTCTTCGCAGGCCAGATGTTGCGTCGAGTTTCATTAATAAAAGTTTCTCTTTCGTGAGAATCACTTCGGCGTTCTTTCACTGCGTTCCACTCGAGCTGTGAAAATACGAGCCATGATTCGTATCAAGGCGGACGAGAACGTGGCGACGACTATGACGATGATGATGATGATGATGATGATGATGATGATGAGGAGAAGAAGGAAACGATCTCTTATTGCGATGTCATCCTCGAGAATTCGCGTAATCGCACCTCGTTTTCCGCGGCTAGTAGTCTTTTTCTTTTCAAGGGAACAATTTATGGAAATCACCTGCTCGGGGGATTGTCTTTTATGGATATTAGAAACAACCAAGAAATTACCTTAACAATATATTATCTCCTCTATTCCAAAAGAATTGAAACTCTGCAATTAACTAATTATAAATGAATTTGAAATACGTTTGAACACTCTCAATGTTCTTCTGATCTCGAACATTTCATTTTAGAATTCTATTCTGATATTAGTTCGTTTTTGTTATTTTTTTCAGGTTACACATAAGGTAACTGGTCAGGTGATGGTATTAAAGATGAACCAGCTGCCTGCTAACAGGCCGAACATGTTAAAAGAGGTTCAACTTATGAACAAGCTCAGCCATTCGAATATACTCAGGTAAGATCGTTATTTTTTTTTCGGTTGAATCCGGTTCACTTTTCAAACAGACAGAGACAGATAAAGACCCTCGTCGTAGGATAATAATACTCTCGTGTAATGTTGCTGGTAATAATTAGGTAGATTTGTAACCAAAGATTAGACGATTTAAGAGACACCATTGAACGAAAAAAAAAAAGATTCCTCGGGGGTTGGGGAGGGGGGGTTGTTTAGCTGTTGTAATAACACTCGAAGTTATGACATAACGGGTGTCCCGTGTGATCTTGCTAGATGATGAAGAAGTAGTAGTAGTAAAAGAAGAAGAAGAAGAATAAAAAGAAAAGGAAGATGACGATGACGAGGAGGAGGAGTCCGAGGGGTGGAAAAGGGGAAGGAAAACGTGCGCATACACCGGCGACAACGCATTCCGTCGTTATAAACGGCTTGGCCCACTTTCGAATGTGTTTATTCCCCTTTGCCTCTAGCGGATCTTATTTCTGGCATTTCTCTCCTTGAAGGCTACGAAAAGTGCGAGTCTTTGGAGATATCGGTTTCATTGGCCCAGAACGAAATGCGATTAACTTTTCCCCGTTCGTCGTGTAATTATATTGGAAAAAAAAAAAAAAGAAAAAAAAAAGAAAGGAACATGATTTCACATCCTGGAAAAGTACGTCGTCGTCGTTGACCAAAAAAAGATTCATATTAATTCGATATATTGCTGGACAATTTTATAATACGAAACGAATGATTTAATCCCCTTTTTTTTTTTTTTTTTTCATAGTCGTGTTCAAGTGATAAGATCTTATCTTATCTTCTTTAACAAAGTTCCTCTATCTATTATCACGTTTTTAAGATAAAAATCTTTAGCACATTTTTGCACATTGACGTGGTATTTTTTTTTTTCGGTCAATTAGATTTATTATTTTATATTAGAAGAAAAAAAAAACAAAACAAAAAAAAATATATAAGGACATTTTTATTCGTCTCTGTAGTTTTTTTTATTACTGGAACGTGAAAAGGAAAAAAATAATCTGAATAGGTTTTTATACGATTAGATTCTCGGTTCAGCGATCGCGAGAAGTGACATTTAGAAAAATATATTTTTAATCTCTTAACCCTCCCACCCCCTCCACACACATTTTTTACGAGCTCTCTACTAATACCGTAGATTTTGTTCTCGCTAATTTTGTATAGATCGTCAAAGTAGGAGGGAAAAAAAATAATACTAGTCAGATTTTGTAGGTTTTACGGATTTTGAAAGGTTAAACGTGTAAAGTGGATTCGATATCTGTCCGATACAATCTTTACCTTGTATACGAATTTATTCGGAAAGATTTTAATTGGCCGAACGTTTTTTGAAAGGTGATATGACATTCTGTTACATACAACATTCTCGTATATTAAATGATACGTAATGATTGCTAAGCTGCCAACGTAATTTTCAACTTTGTCCTTTTCCTACGATCGACGGTTTCCTCTTTAATTTATTCGGTTAAACATCTGTACGATATCGAAACAAATTTATAACTTAATCTCGATCCGAAAAAACCTTCAATTTCTGACAATACGAAAATGAATATTGTTAAAACTTTAGCCAGTTTTAAAATGATGACTTTTCTTTTCTGTTAATTCGTGAAAAAAAAAGAGAGAGAAAGAGAGAAAAAGACGTTCCTTTGAAATAAAATTTGAAAGTCGTAATCGTGCGAAATGAAAGCTACTGAATAATAATGAACACATATTTATCCTCTTTTACCTCCCGCGGAATGCAATTCGCTCTAGTACACCTCCGTGCAAGGTAGTTTCTCCTTCCCACTTTTACCAAACCTCGTTGATGAAAAGAAAAAAGAAAAGAAGAGAAGAGAAGAGAAGAGAAACCATATAAGAAAAATAAAATATTATTGATTTATCATCTATATATCATAGATTATTCGTTTGTTCCTCTTACATTAGGTGAGTAATTCGATTGACTCGCAATTAATCCAGAGGCTATCGTCCCTTTACTGTCATTCAACGACTTAACAGAGTTACGAATTTTATAAGGAAATATGACTAACGCTTCAAACGACCTTTTTACAAACTCAATAATCCACGTACGTGTGCAATTCATTTTAAAAAGACACGTACGAACGATTCATCTCAATGATGAAAACCTTGAATTCGCTCGTTGGTCAGCATTTTAATCAGCCAGGACAAAGATACTAAAGAGGAGGTCCCCTAAGTATTTGCTAAGTCATTTCAAAGTGTCTATTTGTCATTTGTTTTCCAACGTTTTATACGTGGATCATTCGTAAAATATAATTAACTCTTTGCACTCAGTTCCATTATCTGAAAAACTAATCATATTTTTTGTATTTCTAAAAAAAAACCGATTGATCGATAGAATCGAGATACGTCAACGTTCTCAAATAGAAAAACAATAAATATGAATCACGCGTGTTGGGTAAAGGAAGGAAGGAAGACCTCGAATAATCTCGAGGTCTCTATAAAACGTTAACGTGATTCACGTAGGAAACGATTAATTTGTTACACTCGAAAATAAACGGGAGGAGGTAATATTTATGCATCGAGAGAGATACCTTCCGTTTCTGGATACCAACGAGAAATTAAAATGCGAATAGATTAGAAATTTCAATATTAAACAGTACCAGGTTGCGTTTAATTCCTATCAAGATTTACACGTACGAGTATTATAGACTCTAATGTTAGTAGGTGTGTTCCTATCGGTTTAAGAAATCTTTTGAAAACGTTGAAAGTAACTTAATTAATCCGATTAACTCGACGTAACTCTTTCGAGGAACTGACTGCTTCGATGGTATAAACTCGGTCCTATATCCTAATTATCTCTTTTATCGGATAAATCAACAACGGTTTCTCCTATCTCTTCTCTTATCTTTTTCGTAGAATGGATTACAAAAAAGAACAAAATAATTGATAGACTCTAAGTTAAAATAATAGAAATTGATTTGCAATTGGATCGAGTATTGCTGTGTGTTGCATATTTTTATGATCTTTTATTAAAGGTTCATGGGAGTTTGCGTCCACGAGGGTCAACTGCATGCCTTGACGGAATACATAAACGGTGGTAGTCTGGAACAATTAATAATGTCACGGCATACACCGTTGCCCCACCTGATACGTATGAATCTTGCAAGAGACGTAGCACGTGGTATGGCCTATTTGCACAGTCGTGGCCTATTTCATCGGGATTTAACTTCAAAGAACGTTCTCATCAAGAAGGATGAGACAACGAATGAGATGACTGCGGTGGTCGGTGATTTTGGATTAGCAGCTAAGATACCAGATCCTAGTTCGGGTTACAGATTGAGCACGGTCGGCAGTCCTTATTGGATGTCACCGGAATGTTTGAAGGGTCAATGGTACGATCACAGATCGGACGTTTTCTCATTTGGTATCGTAGTTTGCGAACTGATCGGACGCGTTCCCGCTGATCCAGACGTTTTACCACGCTCAGATAACTTTGGCCTCGATTATCTGGCCGTGGCGGAGATCTGTGCGGCTGCCGACCCACCACCTGCCTTCCTACAGCTAGCCTTCGATTGCTGTACCGTGAGTATATCAAACTGAGATTCTCTTTGAGTATAGTATGCGTTAGTTTGGCACTGTCACGCTTCTTGGCATCTCCGATATATTCTTCTACGTAATACGCCGCCTTGCTGTGTGTAGATAATAAATCGCGAATAAACTATCTACAATAGGGTATTTTAAGTTCGCCTGATGTAACTAGCGCTAGTAGCTATTATCGATATTACCGGATTTCATGTTATGTCTTTTTTTTTTTTTATATAACTAACTTATTAGTTTATTTAGGAATTTTCATTTGCCGGTTTTATGGATAAAATCGATGATTTAATTTTTAGTACGAACCGAAATCGAGGCCAACCTTCCCGGAGATCACGTCCAGTCTAGATAGCATGATCAGCAATTACGAGGAAGAATCTAAGAATAATATTGGTAATAGGCAATCGACCGATCCTACTTTAATGTCAAGCATGGACGAAATTGTACGAGAAGGCCGTACGATGAGACGAAGGACAGCTCGACTTAGAAGTCAATCTGCTGATGCGAGAGGTTGCGATAATGCGACGCCATCGGATAAAGCTAGGTGTCATTCGGCGAGAAGAGTTGCTGAGCTAGCTAGCAGAAGAGACCCGCATTACAGGCCAATGACAGCGAATCCATTTCACGCGTTGGGTGGAGTCAAGAAAATTTTGGGAGACCTTTTTTCCAGTTGTTTGGAGTTGCCATCGCTCGAGGATGTTAGGCCAAGCGTAACCGATGCCGTTGGCAAGTTCAAGCCAGCCCAAAATGATAGTATTGCCAAAATTCTCGATAGAAAGAAGCCTAATTCGGAACCTAGCAGTCCTACGGCAAGAAAGAAATGGGAAAGGAAGGTGGGATGGATAGAAATGAGAAAAGTTAATCATTGATGAAGTAATTGCAATATGAATGACGTTATTAAGATATTCCTTTTGCAGGTGGCTACTAAAGTTGGCGCGGCTAGTCTTTTCGCACATCCCCTTTTCCGAGACGGATGGGAACCAAGAAGAAGGGGCAGCTGCGAATCGGGTTTCTGGAGTTGCGTTGGAGAAGATCTCAGCCCTGAACCACCTAATCGTCGACACACGTCAACCCTTAGCAGTTCGGCAGCTAGTAGCCTATTCTTATTGGACGATCATAGAACCAGCTCGATATACACGGATTCTTCCGAGGACATAGCAAGTCTCGGTGGTGGAGATTCATCTTGTTGGGAGGATAGACTTAGTGGGGTAGGGTCATCTAGTAAAACGATTTCTAAGATAGTTGAATATTTCGAAAGGAAACAGGCAACGGCGGGTAGCCTGAGACTTTGCGATCACGACTCGGTAGTTCCTAGCAGGATGAGTTTGTTGAAAGCAAGTTTGGAGGGTCCAGTTCCATTGTGTAGTATTTCGGCAGCTCAGAGGTTGGTTGTTTGCGAGGGTGCAGTTCGCAGCAAGCTCCCTCTTTTCGATAAAAAATGATCGAGCCCGTTAACACGCGTAACCTTCGTTACTTAGAATTATCTTATTTCGTCTATGATATTTTTCCCTTGACAAATTATTTACCTTACACGTGTTAAAGGAACCCCATTTTTTCACGAGGCAGCACGCTCTGTTGCGCATAATAGATGTCGCTGAAGATTATGATAAATAATATCCGAATGGATTATATGTATCGTATAAACGTGTCTCAATGATGAAATCTAGTAACCCGACTGTGATGTTTTTGATAATCTACATAGAAAAAAAATACCGCGAAACGTGATACCACTGAAGTTTAATTACAAAGAATATTAGAGTACCGATTAGCGCAGGAGATCTCTTATGCGCAACACGATGCTTGCGATTATATGGTATGTCTGTTGTTTTCAGTTTATAATTTATTCATTGTCTTTTTCTTTTTTCTTTTTTTTTTTTTTCTTTTTCACTCAATATCACGATTCGTCGAGATAAAATTTGCGAAAATAGTGGCCTAATTTGTTATTAAGCTAGAAACAAAATTTCGTCCATTCGCATTGATGCGCAATATTCTGGTAATATTGTCTAATGATTCATAGTTACAACCTTAGAGACGCACACATTGATCAACTATGAATAGAATAGAATAATATATTTGCGATAATTGAACAGACGTACCGTATATATATATATAAATACATACATACATAATTAATACATACTTATATTCGTGTACCGATCGAGGGGGAGGAGAAAAAAAAAGGATAAAAGCAATATAAAAATGATTTAGTTGAAATAACGATGATCAGTGCGAAAGGGAGGAGCACTGTTCGCGCCCTTATCTTTTTGCAGTGCCTCGCAGTTCCTAGTATATATATATATATATATCCATTTCCGTCCTTCCGCACGTGTGTTAGAGATCCAGACAATTCGAATCTTTTTAGGGAAAAGAAAATAAAAAGGGCTGATAATTAAAGCACGATAATGATGATGGGGTTGGTAGAAAATCACCAGATCCGGTGATATTGAGCTTCCTAGATCGCGTATAGAATAATTTTCATGTTAGGGAGGAGGTGTCTTTTCTGCTAACGTTATTTAAACATCCTCCTCCTCCTCCTCTTTCGTTTTTTCTTTCGATGGAAGATACGATTGTTTCGGTATTCACGAAAAAGGAAAGAAACAAATTTTACAATGTATATACATCATATATATATATATATATATATACTTATCATAAATTAAAAAAAACATTTTAGATAGACGATCGCGTATTTCTTCGATTATCGAATAAGAATTTCGTTTAGGGCCTAAGTTCTTATAAGTACTTCCACGAATGAGTCTTCATTTACAAATGTTTGTTGACGACGACGACGAGATTTGATTAAAAAGTCAACAACAACTGTGTGTGCAAGACTCATCCGATATTTTTCGTGCCCGATATCTTTAGTATATAATAAAAAGTAGTAAGATATATTCATAGATTATTAGTATACTCAGGACGAAAGAATGGATGATATATATATATATACTATATACTATATTTTGTTGGCGGGGAAAAATCCGTGTCCTGAATATTTTTGTTGAGAAATGAGAAAAAAAAAAAGTATGAACGAATGAATGAATCGATTACGGAAGAGAGAGAGAGAGAACAACTACACAACAACAACAACAACAACAACATATGAAACTGATCTAGTCAGTGTAATTAAATGTGGCGGCCTTATCTTTTTGTACGTCGTTAATGGTTAAATCGAAGGAAAAAAAAAAAAATTAAAGTAACTTAGGACGTTAGGGGAGAGTATAGAACGTAAGTGGGTGGTCTTATCTTTTTTTTTCTTCTTATTATTTTTTCTCTTTCAATACGACTTATTTATAAGAGAATACAAAGAAAATGAGAGAGAGAGAGAGAGAGAGAGAGTGTGTGTGTGTGTGAGAATGAAAGAACAAATAAAAATGCACACGTGGGAAGAGTATGATGGTGGTCCTTAGTTCGCGTCCAATCAAATGCGTCCGCGTTAATTACAATAGTGCAGCTGTGAAGAAAAAACAAAAAAAAAAAAAAAAGAAAAAAAAAAGAAAAAATCGCTTTTAAAAAACGTTGAATCGTTTCGTCGCGCTACTTCTTTATAGGACGAGTCGGAACCAAATTTATTCTTTTTCTCTTTCAATTATTATTATTATTATTATATTATTATTATTATTATTTTGTTTTTTCCCCCTTTTTTTTTTTTTTTAATAGAACCGATAGATTATTGTATTATTATTAATATTATTAATATTATAATTGCATTACACGTATATGAGTACATACAAACACACATACATAAGCGCGCGTACACGTAATAAAACATATGTGTCCACACCATTTTTACTTATTCAAGTTCGTTCACGGGTTTTACCTGATAAGACTGCGCGTTTGTTGATTATTGTTTGTAAAGGATAGAATGAATGTATCCCCGAGTTAGGGGTAGGTGATAAGGGGTGGGGAGGGGTTGGAAGGAGAATCGATAGAAACGAATTTTGAAAAAAAAAAAAAAAATATATATATATATATATCTCTCGATATATTCGCAGTCTCTTCCTCGGCCAGTAAAACTGCAACGATCATGCATGATCGTTGCAGAATATTTTTTCCTTTTTCACTTTTTATTTTTCTATACCCTTCTTTCTTTCTTTTTTTCTTTCTTTTCGTCGTCGTCGTTGATATTTTCCTCCACTTGTTTATTATTTTTTTTTCTTCACCATTTTATACACGACGCGTCAATCGGTACCTGAAGAATCGAGACGAATGGACTGCGAACACGTGTGTGTGTGTGTTAGGTTTATTATTATTATTAATTATTATACGGACATATCGGGAGTTAACATATCCTGAAATGATCGTAAAGATAATGAAGGGGGGCGGGTTGATCGATTGTAAAAATAAAATATATTACGAGTATTTGTAAGTATATATATATATATGTGTGTGTGTGCGAGTGGGAGTGAGAGTAAGAAGAAACAGGGGGATGGGGGACAATATTGGTGGTCCGAGAGGACGCATTTCTCAAGAAAAGAAAAAAAAGAAAAGAAAAGAAAAAAAGGGGTTTATTATTTATTTTAAGTAAGAAAAAAAATCTAGGGTAAATAATAAAAAGAGAGAGAGAGAGAGATAAAAGAAATCTAACGCAGTGTGCGAATGTTTGGACGTATTTGGTACGAATGAATTGGTAAGATGAATTTAAAAAATTGTATGAATGAATGATTGATGATATGGGGGATTATAGATTAAAGAATGATAATATGGCGTATTGGTGGCGAGAGATACGAAGATGATGATAATAATAATAATAATAATTATATAAAACAATTAATCGGTAATATAAAAGAAAAAAAGTAATGGACGAAAGAAAGAGAGTGAATGTGAAAAATAATTTTCGGGCCGGAGCTCTATATATATAGATAAACTATATTATATTGTAAAGATTCCTATATATATATACAAGTGTAATAATAATAACTAAGGAGACTCCAAATTTTTACCAAAACAAAAGAAGAATAATAAAATAGAAGGCAATGGAAAGAAAGTAAAATAAACTGATGATAAGTTTGATTGATGGGAAGCCTTTTTTTAGCTAAAAGCTATCAAGTGTTGTCTACCACCTGGTCGATGTTTACATTCTTTCATCAAACGAAATAATCTTAACAAATAACAAACAAAAAAAAAGAGAGAACCTAAATCCTACAAAATAATAACAATATAATAATTATCCTTTGCGAATGTCTCATAAAATTCCTTTTATTTAAACGAGCGTTCGAAGAGTTCACCATGTGTGCGATATTAAATCATTTTATTCGATCATTTTGCGACATTCGAACGCTAGTTTTCCTAATTATGGGGGAACAAAAAGGGACTGATTAATAAAAGATGATAATAATAATAATTTACGAAGACGAATGTGAAATGTTAAACTAAAAGAATAAATTAACATTGTGTGTTCCTTTTTTTTTTTTCTCTTAAATATCAATTCGATGATCACGGCCACCACCACTTGGCCTGATTTGAAAATTGAAGCCAATTTTATTAGGCATAGTTTGATAATCTAATTAGTTTAACTATGGCTAAATGATGATAGACCATCAACGATCCCTTTCGAAGGATGTAATGGATCTACCGAGGTCTTCCTCAGGAATCAATGGTATGTATCTCGTTCTTGGATCCTTTCTTCTTTCGTAAGCGTACGGAAATATCATCGTCCTTTTCGGGAAAGATTTAGATTCTCTGCTTTTGTTTGAACTCGATGATCTTGGAATCTTTTGTATATGGGAAGTGTAAGAAATCGTTGAGCTAATCGTTGAACGAGATTCATTAATTTCGGTCGACGACGGAAAAAAGTCGTCATCGGTGTTTTGTAAATCAATCAGTGGAATGAATTTACGTTCCTCTTTAGTTTCATCGGATGTTGATCTTTCGGTAATTATTAAACGATTTTCAGAATCTATCGAAGAATTCATTGATCTCATCAAATTTTCGTTCATGGTATCATCTGTTGAAATGATAGTCGTTGATTGACGCGTATTTTCGGTTATCGGTATCCAATCGTTTAATTTTTTCGTCGAAGTTATCGTTTCTTGATCGTTATCTTCTAAAGATCTAGACACGTTAATATTCCTTTGAGAAATCTGAGAATCCGGTTCTTTGATCGGCACCCATTCGTCATTACTTTCATTTCTTTTTAAAGTTACGTTATCCTCCTTCTTTATAATAACGTCCATCGAACTATTCGGATCAATGACGACATCCTTTACTTTCTCATCCTTTTCAATACTTTCCTTTTGTAATAAATCCAATTGCTTTGCGTGTTGGTATCTCGATCTTACTTTATTTTCAAAAGATTCCTTTGTATCCATTCTATCTCCCAAAGGTGGAAAATATTTCGGTTCTTCTTGACGTAGACCACTAACAAAACTGGGAGTGTATTGGGAAATCAATGGCAGTAACGTTTGCCTGGCATATTTTTCGGCTTGCGCAAGTATTCCTGCCAATCTTTCGGGTAAAAATTGTACGGTAAATCCTCTGGTAGAAGTCGACGAAGTTTCTTGTATCTCATCGTCTTGCCTTTCCTCGTCAAAACTTGTATTCCTTTTATTTAAATTTTGTCTCGTTGAACGTGGTCTTAAAATTGGTTCGGTGATTTCCGATAATTTTAAAGACCTCCCCGCGGATTCTTTTTTGTTCGAACGTAAAACGGGTTCACGAATTTCTGGCAAATATTGTTTCGTCGTGACCTCGTCATCGTTGTCGTCATTATCGTCATCATCTTCATTGTTTTTGTCTTCGGGGGTGGTTTCGGTAAACGACGAAACACGTTGGATAAAATTCGAGCCGGAAAAACTTCTACCGTTTTCGGTTTCCCCGTTGTCCAAAATATTCGACTCGCCGCCGTTTGATATTTCAACGATTTTCCATGAATTACTGGAACTATCGTCAGTATTCTCATAATCGTTGGATCCATCGACCAATCGAATATTTTTCTGATCTTTCGTGAATGGTCCGACACCTTTCGTGCCGGTTCTCTTTTTCGACGTGAACTCGTTAGAATAAGCATTTCGAAAATCATAATTTTGATCTTTCGTGAAGGGCCCAATACCACCTTGTCTATCTTGAACCATGCGTTCCAATGGGACTATCATCGGATTCGTTATGTTTTCTTTCTCAACAGGTATTTCGCAATCACCTGAATAAAGTGGCAAACGACTAGCTCGTCCAGATTCCAAGATCAAACCGTTTTTACATATAGACAATGTTTTACCAAAACTATCGACCAATGCAACCTTGTCTATGCTCCAAGTTACCAATCCAGACGATAACCATCCACTGTAGGCTGTATATTTGATCTATTCACAAAATTCACATAGAAAATATATTAATAAATAACAATAAAGTAATAGAGATCTCGCGAGAAAATTTAGGATAATAATAACCTCGATAGATTGTACGTTGTTAACTGCTGGATGTGGTACGACAATCTTTTGAAGCGTAACTCCTACCAAAAGTTCTTCATCCTTTCGCGTCATCGCAAAACTTTCGTTGAAGGATCCATCACCTATCAGCGTTATCTAAAATAAATCATTTATTTATTATTATTTTGAGGAAAGTATCGTAATAATTATTAGTATAAAATTGATGAAGCAACAACTACGATTACGCGAGCCGATAGATATTCGAAACAATTCACCTGCAATTTGCCATAACTTCTGGTTGGTCTTTCGCCACGACTGTTGTAAACCTTAACTTTGTATTGATGAGCGCAAAACGGTTCTTCATCTCTTGTTATTAGATAAAGCTGACCTCTAGCTGGTAATTTGTCGCTGTAATAACCCATGTCACCGCAACCCCTATTATTATCCCCGTTAACATTGCAGGGAAAGCATTCACCTTTCAGAAGACCATCGTAGCCACGTGGACAGGGGAATGCAGGGAAACGACACTTTGGGCTGACGGAATCGGTGAATAATTTGTAAGCCCGTCGATGATTGCACAAAGATCTACCTTCAACTGGGGCAGCTAAAAAAATGTCGATGTCAATCGTAAGAAATTGTAAACCGAGTTTAGAAAGTATCGATGTACAAACCATACGACCACCATTACCGTCATATTTTTCAAATAAGTTACTAGTCGATGGTGTGTCGTATCGTTTATACCTCGACCCGTATAACTATACGACCTACTTTCTTCCAAGATGAAGAATTCAAGCTGTTTTTCTCATTCGTGTAGGAGGAGGTAATGAGATACTCTCGATTCGAAATAAAACATATAAGCGAAAATAAAATACGAACGAACGGACACCACGGAGGAGGTTGTGCTTTCTAATCGGAATGATCTATACAATGCACGCACGCACGTGCATACGATGCTCGATCGGTTTAGAAAATACGAACAATCATTTTTCTATTATTAACACACTTGTTTTTATTATTATATTGAATCTCTAAATAAGATAACTTACACCAAATGATGTCTGATACAGCTCCAACGAAAAGATTCGAGCAACCAGTTTGCATTCGTCCACCGTTTGGATAAAAATCAACGTCACCCATTGGCTGCCAAGAACCAAGTCCTCCGAGTATTAATTGTTCACCGTTGCTGTGTATCACGTCGACGAAATTGGCATCTGTCTCGTCCAATCGTGCTCGGGGATCTTGGGATTCGAACAGTGGCCCAGCTGGATCCAATCCTCAGATAAAAAAAAATAAGATACGTAAATCTTTTATTTTAATAGAAATTTATCATATGCCCACAACCTTGTTCTACAATTCTTTCAACAGGTTATCAACTGATCGATTAATAATTACGTTCACTCCGTGTTGCGAAAAGTATACCTTTCCAATGGATTTATTTGAATATCAAACAGATTCATTTTTCATTACTATCCTGCGGCCTTTTATTAATTTCTTTCTTTTTTTTTTTTTTTCAATCACATAAAAAACCAATCTAATCATAATTCAAAGTAACTTTGAACGCGTGTCATTTCTTCATACGTTAGATCCCCAAGAAACGAAGGTAAACGTTTCGTAAGATTTATAAATGAATTCTGTATAAACCAGTTTCAAGTCCATAAAAATCAATCGCGTTGATTGATCTGCGTTAAAAAAGACAGAGAAAGAACGGGGGAAGGGGGGAATAAAATAGATATACCTACCGGTGATTCTAGAAACGTTTCCTAATTCTGCCCCAGCAAAACCAGCTACGTGTGCACCAAGACTGAACCCGATCAAATGTACCCTCTCTTGGGGAACTTCCAAGTTTCTAATCAATTTGGCCAATTGACGACCGACCAGTCGAGTATTGGCTGCTGCTCTAACGTAATTTGGCACTGCACTTCCTGGACCCCAATCAACGCACACTGGAAACGTATAACAAAAAGAAGAATTCAAATAAACGATTAGAAAAATATTAAATCAAGTGTGGATTATATTATTCCACGAGATTTCAGACAAATGAAAATCATCTCGGATATAAATTCATGAAAAATCAAACTAAATGACATTAATACTATTAATAGGGGTCCCTCCCCTATCAAAGCAATCAACTTTCTTGATCGTAGTATAACGTGCGTTGGTTGCACCACCAACAAATTTTTTGAGATTAATTTTTTGATTGCTTCAGTTGATTTTTCTTTTGTTAACGATTACTTAAGGGGACGTACCAATGTTACACTCGTGAACGGTCATTAAAGCCAATCTCATCTCGTAAACCCACACGTGATCGCAACTAGATCCAAAACCGTGTACTATAACTTTGGTCGGCAAATCTGGATCTATGGCACGGTGAGCGTTATCGTTTATATCTTCAGCTGGCACTTCCATTGGTATTGATCTCGCTTTTCTGCTACCGTAAACCAGAAATCTGCGGATACAAATCAAGAAACATTGGATAACGTTATTTGTTATTTCTCTTTTTGATATATATAGAAATACTTTCCAATCTTGAGATACACAGGCTAACTTTGTATTCCTCTACTATGCAATTATTTTCTTTTCTAATATACTATTAATGTTATATAGAAAATAATAGATTATATATGATTATCTAGGAGAAACGTACGATTAGATACGTAATACTCTCGTAGACACCTGTTACTTGAACTTGAACTTTTCGTTAATTTGACCTATTTGGTGTGATTAGTTAATATAATGTAGGACATTTCTTACCTGGTACCAACATCCTTAGGTGGAGAAGGTAACATTTCCAGATAACTGAACGGTCCGGTATCTTCGAAACATCCAACATCCTCGTAACAAACCTTAGACACTTCTCTTTTGTTTCTGTGACGTTCACGTTTGTGTAAGGACCATTCTCTCATGGATTCTACAACGGCTCGAAATATTTCTGCATCGTTTCTTTCGTCCAATGACTCGTCGAGGCTCGTAGGCCATGACTCGGCCAACGTAAAATCTCCTAAATCAAATATTTGTCATAAATTTTTAATGAAATTAACTTATTCCTCATCTTATTTTTCGAGTAAAATTCCATTTGCGCGCGTTGTCCTTTATTATATATATTTGTGTTAATATTTTCATTATTATATAAAATGAGAGGAGAACAGAAAAAAAAAAAACAATTGCAGGAATTGTAACGGTGTTTTCGGTTCGGTGCACGGACAGCAATTATTTAGATTAGCATAACGCGCCTAAATACTCAGCCCGGAACAAGATCATCCTGAAATGAAGATACAAACGGCTTCTTTTTGCGAATCTATAGATCAATCAATCTCCGACATTTACACCTCGTTTATTATGCTCTGAATATTTGATCCTATTGTGTCTTAAAATTCGCGGAATTACTCGACGAATCGTAACCGAAATCTAAATCCTATAATAAATAATCCTAAATTTGATAGTTATATAGCCTATATAGTTGAATATTAATATTTATACCATAAATTTATTTATATTATAGATATGATAATTATATGTTTAATAAGAAGATGATCATGAAATTTAATCAAATTATTCTGGCAACTATAGTCAACTATAGTATAAGTTCTACCCCTAATAAATTATAATATTGCAATTAAAAATATTATCAATTAGGGAACGAAAAGATAAGTCTTGTGAAAAGAAAATGAGATAAGGAACTTGCAATTATAGTAAATGCAACGTTTGAATGATTCTTTCGTTTAGGTACATCCATCCTGAACTTACGACCTAAATTTTATTCGTGTTCATTAGTTTGGAAAACTAAACAATGAATAAAAAAAACTCGCACGAGCGTAAAAAAGATACCATCAGTAGCATTTGTGTGTGTGTTTTTTTTTATCCCACGAATTTCGTAATAATTTTGCAAATAGAAAATTTGTCCAATTTCCAAATTCTTACAAAATTGCAATTTTAGAATCTAACGAATTGTATTAAATCTATGTGTTATAACTCGAGCATGATTGTGTAAATATTTAAAACGAGTAATAACGTAACGTCGACAAAAAATGGCGAGCCAACATTTCATCCGTCAATTTCATTTTCAACTAATAAGATTGCAAATGGCATATTTTATAAACTAACGTGTACACACACAACAACGTATATATTGCACGCTCAAATGTGCAACATTTTATTTATCGTTTCTCATTCGACAATAATCTCGACCTTAATTTCTCACGTAGACACCTTGCGAAAACGCATTATGAGAGAGAACGTTCTGCTTCTCCTTCGTTAACCATAATCGATCATCATCCATGCATCGACTTACATACATCTATGTGCAGACATAAACGGTCAGGAAAATTGCATAATGCATATTAGAATTCTACGTAATCAGAGATACGCGTGTTATAAACGTATTTTAATTTTCAATATAATCCTTTTTTTTTAAAAAAAACAATATTCGCCAATTCGCTAATTGAACAATCGAATATCGTTGAGTATAATGAAAAAACAATAGGATCTGATTAACGGTAAACTTAATGAAGAATATGTGTATTTATTATGCAATATAGAATAATCATCTAGCAATCTGTCGAATGTTTCCTATAAGACACATTTATTAATAATAATAATAATAATAATCTCTTTTATGTGATTTGAAATAAATTCATTCGATTAGATGAATAATTCGTGTTGAGAATTTTCATTGACAAGTTCGAACGAAGGAAGGAATAAAAAGGAGGCCTTTCATCCGTTCATTATCATTCGATGGTTTCTTTCCCTCGTAATGTTTAAAACGGTAATGGTCATGGGTATTCTCCAAGTGACAAGAAGAGACACGAATTGCTGTCAAGTGAGTTTCGAAGAGGGACGACTTAACGGTACGACAAAAGACCGTGTCTGAACTAACACTACTATATTTCTCGACAACGGGATCACGCGAGACACATTTTATGCTAGTTGCCAATTGAATAATAAACGATTATTATTCGTAAATCTTTTTAAAACAAAATTTCATTTCATATTTCTATCAATCAAGATCACTAGCGTAATGACAATTTTCTCTCATTTTATTTGTTATTCAAGTTATTGTTATATTGTCTTCCTAATGATCCGAATCTTTCGTGTTTTCACAAGATTTAATTAGAGTTTTTTATTGTAATTAACGTGTATATATAATATCTGATGTCTCACGACACATTTAGATATCAAGAGGAAAATTTGAACCGTCGAATATATCGTTTGAGTATAATGAAAAGACAATAGGATTCTGATTAACGGTAAACTTAATAATGAAATACTTCCTATTATTATCCTTTATTATTCATTATTTAGATTTATTATTCTAGTATCGTAATTAACCGTTGAATCGAAGTGTGTTCCAAGTGATCGAATCGAAGATGACACGAGTTGAATGACAAACTATCGATTTTCGCTTTTCAAGGCAAACGATTGAATGTGTTGAAACACAGTTGTTCGCGATTACTAGTTTATCAATCGATAAACGAGAATATGATTAACATGAATCAGACGTATATATGCAATTTAGGTTTGAACGAGTTGTATGATGCAGCTACTAATGTAGGTTCACTAACCTCGGATTCATGGAAACCGTGTCATCTTTTAATCTTGTATGGGTTTTTTTTTTTATACGTGTACGGGGGACGCATACACAAAGACATTGAATTATGTTTATTGTCTGTAACATAAGAAAAGAAAAGAAAAAACAATTCACGTGGTAGATGCATCATTCGTCGTACCGACCTGTATTTATTTTTCAAACGTGAGATATTCTGCGAAATAATGTCGAGATGAAATGAAACAAAGCTTAGCGATAAAGTTTTGGATATATACTAACGAGACGAGAGAGATTACTTCTCGAGATCAATAAAACGATCATCTCATGACACTAGAATCTAACGAGATGATGAGGAATGAAACGGTAAAGTGGATCAACCGTAACCACTTGTTGATGACCTCTCCATAGAAAAGTAGGCACACCAACATACTCGTTTACCTAGTTACGTGAATCCACGAATTACAAGTGTCGGCAAACTTAAATGATCAAGATTAAACGTAAATGCTGTATCTTACGAACGTAATTCAGTGTCGTTGTACAAAAAAAAAACTAGAACGAAAAATTAACTCGATTCGTAGGAAAATAATAACTAGAAATAATTTGTCGTAGGTGGTATATATGTTTAGAGTAAGTCAAGAAGAAAAACGAACGAGTAAAAATAATTGATCAATGGAATGTAACGTTGTTCTGATTTACATATGAAAGGACACTAGCATTGAAAGTGGACGGGCAACTGGATTCACGATGAAAGTCAGGCAATTCTTGAAGACTATACTGCACAGACAGACAAACTGTACTGCACAACATATTCTATCAGCCTTTCTCGTTTCACTGAAAACACGGGCATAATAAATCACTACTTTTCAAGGTCTAATCGACGACTAATCTCGTCTTTGTCCGGAAACGAATCCTTCCTGATTTCACTTCGCGTAAAATCAAATTCACGCGAGTGCATTTCCAAGGAATTTACGGGAAATTTTGGGTCCTTATTTTTCGGAAAGAAATAAGACAGACGACTATCGTAAACCCTGACATTGAAATATTCAAAACTGGCAGGAAATTATTCAAACATATATTCTCACAGACTGAGAATTAAAGTCTGGAACGAGAAGAGTATTACGAAATATAAAAGTATATAACGGAGGAGTAAGGTAGTCAAAGAACCGTTTTCTTTCTCCGTTAGTAATCGCGTGGTCGAAAGTGATTATCTATCTTTTACTTTTTTTTTTTTTTTTTTCTATCTTTCTTTCATCTTTCTTTGTTTTCTCGTAAGAATCATTTCTTTATTAAAGTAAACGCGTCTATAGTTTTCTCGGCAACGAAATTAATAGAAATGATAATAAAACAAACGCAATAATTCAATCACCCGGTATATTATTATAGACATAAAAAAAACCTGATCGAATCGATGTGTATCTTGCAAAAGCAATGGACTCTCCTTTCTCGATACTTTTCTCTAACATTTCTCCTCTCTCGATGTTTCTTTTTCTCTTCTTCTTCTTCTTCTTTTTTTTTTTTTTTTTAAATCAATTTTAACCTACAAATCTAAAAACCCTATAAACGGACATTGTTTCATAAATCATTCGTATTGATTTGAAAAGTAGTAGACGTGAATCATGCGAGGATGTCTTCGATACAATGTTGATTAAATAATTCGCGTGTTTAGTTTTTGTGTCTGTGTGTGTGTGTGTGTGTACGCGAACATTTAAAGAAATAATTTATCTTTGATGATGATGATGAAGAAAAGTTTAAATGATCTAGGAAACAAGTACAAAGTACAACCCCCTTATTACAAACGAATTTAATAATGTATCCAAGAGTTAAACGGTGTTCTCGAATTTCGTGATGCACGGATCTTTGAAGCGGGGAGTAGATTTTTTGTTGTTGTATTTTTCTTGCATACACACAACACAACACACAGACACAGATACATACGGATATAGTACTATAATGTTCCGGAGAGAAATTAATTGGCCGGAGAAAGGCGAGTGGACCGTGTGCTCGTGAAGAAAAAAGGGTCAAATCCGTTGGCGAGTCAGTGAACGCAACCTGAACAGCGTAGTAAACTTCAACACACGCAAACGTGCAAAAAGAAAAGTATAGTTTTCAACATAAGTCTCTACCGGGGCTTCTTTTTAATAACGTCGTTACACTTGAGCCAATTATACAAGAGAGAACATTCGATCAATTTTCTTTTTTTTTTTCTTTTTTCTTTTTTTCTTTTTCTTTTTTTATACTCGTGTTATAGAACGAAACTTACTTTCTATGATTAATCATCGCAATCTCTGCCAATTGTCATATTCACGGTCAATGCCACGCAAAAGAGATTCTCTTTCGCAATAACGAACAACAAAATTAGGATGATTATGTTAATTAAATTGGTAGGATAATCGTGTAATTAATGAATTAAACGTAACTCTTTCTCATCGAGATAAAATTTATTTAAATGTGTATTAACGTGACAATTTTCATTATTCCGAGAAATAAGAAAAGTATTATTTTTTTTTCAATAGAATATATTTTTCACATGATAAATATTTGTAATGTATGGAAAAATATGCGGGTCTGATAAATGGGATCCCTCCCACCTACCCTTTCTTAACTGTTCGTTAAATAACACGTAGGTTTTTTTGCAATTATTCGCACGTTTCTCGTTGAACTTCTCGTTCGCAATAAAACGATGGCCTAGACCGCGTTTAACATTTTAATCGTTGCATCGTGGGGACTTTAATGTTTTACAATTGCAATTTCGACGATTGATTTTTGATTAACGTTACTCGCTTAAGTTAATTTAATTGCAATGAAGTGTTGTTTGAGAATCGCATTTTGCTTTTAAATGATAATTAATGGAGGATAAAAAAAAGAAAAAGAAACAATGATGACATGAAAGTTGCTTACCGAGAAAGCTGATCCATCGAAGTATCCAAAGAAATAACAAAATCTTGTTGCCGATCATCGCACGGATCTTTGATCAGCGCGGAAGTAAGTTGATAGATCGAACATCAAATCAGTAGCAACAGTAGCAGCACCACCACCATTCTCGGTGAATCAAATAATGGGGGGAAACAAATCGAGAGATAATAAAAAAAAATGAAAAGAAAATTTCTATTAGTTTTATGCCACCCTTAAGCGTTGAAAATTATTCCATACTTAGCCGGCAATTATACAAACTAATATGTTGTGAAAAATAAATGATTAAAAAATTATTATCTCGAGATAATATATTTCTATTTGATAGGAAGAGAGGAATGAGAAGAAGGAACAACAACAACAAAAAAAAAAAGAAAAATTCGATCGACGAACTACGACGATGCCTCCTCGTCGTCTGCTTTCTCTTTCGAAAGAAGGAGAGTAGAAGCACGTTGGTTGGTTGGTTGGTTGGTAGTGGACGCGCGCACACACTTTACCTCGAGCCTAACTCAAAACAACATTTCCGAGGAATCATTCGGTCTATCACCAATCTCTTTTCCTTCCTTCAATTGTACATTTTTTGTTCTCTCGTAGATGAAAATTTACATCGAAACGTTTTTTTTATTGTATTTCACTTGGATCCTCCGGCGTTCTCCAAAATGGCCGCCTTAAGCGTATAACAAAATTAGGAAAATGCGTGTGCTATTTTATCGGTTCAATTGAAATACTTGGAAACAAATCTTTGACGATGACGATACGCGAGATTATCAAAGACGACTATGACGACGACGAGCAGCTTTCGAAGAAACGCAAAGAGAGAGTCGTGGACTTTGAAGGAACACGAGTCGTTGCTACCTCGTGGCCTACTATAACAGAACTGACTCCCACCGAGAAATAACACCGTCTCTTTACCTGCCATAAGCGCATGCCCTCGGCTATTCATTTCCTCTCCACACCTGGGTCTATCGATAATAACACATACATTTATTGCCAATCATCTTTTTTACCTTTATTTTATTCTTTTTCTTTATCCTTATTCATCATCTTCATCCTTTCATTATTCCTTCTTAGTTTTCTTTAGCATCATCATTAGGAAATCGTACAGGAGCAATTGAATTTCTAATCAATCGTTTACTTTTTCTATTTACCATGTAAACATACATAGAGACATAGAGAAACTTTTCTTTTTTTAGAATCATAATTAGTATGATAATTATAATTCATATTTCAATGAAATTCAGGTTAAAATCTTAACGACAAGTGTGGACGATCATCGGTAACGTCAATTTCTTCGAACAATGCTAATCGGATATCTTTGTTTGGGGACTCTGTAACTAAGACAAAATTCGAATTGAAGTTCGAATATCAATTAGATTTTAGCACCATATAAGTGCTTCCAATATTTCGTGTTCCATTGCCTAACTTAGACCGCAGAATTTTCTCGGGTTGTCGCAATAGAAAAGTTTCACCGTAATCGAAAGTGCTGCTTGTCCATTGTGATGTATAGCGTGTTACCAAATATTATTATATTAGAAGGGACGAATAGTGCCAATCTATATCTAGAATTTTTATTAACTTTAGAAAAAATCTCGACTTAATTTTAGAAAAATTCCTGACTTAATTTAAGAAATTATCCCTACTTAATTTTAGAGAAAATCTCGACTTAATTTTAGAAATAATCTTGACCTAATTTTAGAAATAATCTCGACTTAATTTTAAAAATATTTTCGACTTAATTTTAGAAATTCTCTCTGCTTAATTTTTTAAGTTCCTTTGACTTAATTTTAGAAATTATCTCGACTTAATTTAAGAAATAATCTCGGCTTAATTTTAGAAATATTCTCGACTAGATTTAAGAAATAATTCCGACTTAATTTAAGAAATAATATCGACTTAATTTTAGAAATAATATCGACTTAATTTAAGAAACATTCTCGACTTAATTTAAGAAATAATCTCGACCTAATTTAAGAAATAATCTCGACCTAATTTAAGACATAATCTTGGCTTAATTTTTTGAAATTCTTTTGACTTAAAATTAGAAATAATCTCGACTTAATTTTAGAAATAATCTCGACTTAATTTTAGAAATATTCTCGACTAGATTTAAGAAATACTCCCGACTTAATTTAAGAAATAATATCGACTTAATTTTAGAAATAATATCGACTTAATTTAAGAAAAAATCTTGGCTTATTTTTTTAATATTCTCGACTAGATTTAAGAAATAATCTCGACTTAATTTAAGAAATAAT